AAAAATACAAAAATTAACTGGGCGTGATGGTGGGTGCCTGTAATCCCAGCTACTTGGAAGGCTGAGGCAGGACAGGAGAATCAGTTGAACCTGGCAGGTGGAGGTTGCAGTGAGCCGAGATTGAGCCGTTGCACTCCAGCCTGGGCAACAAGAGCGAGACTCCATCTCAAACAAAAAAATACAAAAAACAAAAAACACAACTTGAATTGTGATGAGCAACTTGAATTATGGAGGACGCTAGAAATAGTGTTTGCTACACAGTCAGCACTTCCTACCAACATAGTCACTTGTAGGGTTTTTGACCTGAAAAGTTCTGTGGCATATTTTTTCTTTGCTATCCACTTTTTTTCCCAGGTAGTTCTTCCCTTTGTTTTCTCCTCTACTTTATCTTGTAGAGACCTGGGTAGTTCCCAGAGGAATAGTGCTTTAGGGAGTCTAATGGTGATTGATTAGGTAAAAACAGAAAACATTTTTTTCTTTTTTACCTACAAGTTCTGTACCAAAAAATGAATATAAATTTTAGTTGCAGTTTCATATGCTGAAAATTCAGGTTAATTCCATTCCATTTTTCAGAATTCTCAATCGCAATCCTCTGACAACTGTTGAAGATCCGTATCTCTTTAAATTGCCAGCATTAAAATATCTGTAAGTACTATAGTACTCTCATGGGTCACGAGATGATTTATGCTTTTTAAATTTTTCATCAAACTTAAGTATTTTGTATTTAGGCTAAAATTTCATAATTTAAATTTTAACTGGGTTATTGACAAAGAAAAAAATTAAAGAGGATGTATAATGGTCAAGACAGCCAGCAGAGGAAGAGAACAGTGTTGAAGAACCTATATAGATTTGGAACATGTGGACACATGGAAGAATATTATTTAACTAAGAAAGCAAAGGGGCAAAGGTATTCATTATTGTAAAAATGAAGAAAAGAGTAAATAAAATGGTGAATGCAATATGAAAATGAGAAGATAATGGTTAAAAAAAAAAAGGTGTAAGTTCCGCTCTTGAATATCATGAATTTGATGATGCAAATCAACTTAAATTTCTCTAATAAGAGCTCCCCGGAATTCTACAGCAAATAAACTCTTGAGCTGGCTTGTTTTATAGAGAAGCCAAAATTGAAGTAATCACATGTCCTTGAAATATCTTTTTAAGTACAGAATTTTTTATTGGGGTTCATATCATGAATGTTTCGACTTTCTTCTTCAGAGACATGGGAAAAACGCAAGTTCCACTTACAACACTTAAGAACATTCTCACGATGACTGTTGAACTGGAAAAACTGTAAGTTATTCTCTTCTTAGATTTATTTTCACTTAGTTGGTTCTTTAGGTTTGTTTTATTATTTTCTTATCTCAGGTTTATTGAGGTGTAACTTTCATATACTAACATTCGCCCTTTTTAAGTGTACAGTTTGATGAGTTTTGTCAAATGTATAGTTACATAACCACCACCACATTCCCAATATAAAGCATTTCTGACACCTCAAAAAGGCCCCCCATGTCCCTTTGTAGTCCCCTCCTGCCAC